TTTTGCTTTCCTACCCGGCAGATTATAAAGTAGGAAGTAACCGACACTAAACCAAGGGAAGTAACCGATATTAAAATAAGGGAAGTAACTGACATTAAAATAAGGGAAGTAACTGACTTTAAAATAAGGGAAGTAACCGACATTAAAACAAGGGAAGTAACCGACATTAAAACACCTGATACAGCGAGGCCGGGTAGAAAGATCCGCTTCCATTAGCCGTAACAAAAATACCCGGATGTTGACAGAGTCACCGTCCGATGACAGTGTGCAATGTCAAGGTCGAGTTCAGGAAGACACCATTTTGTCGTCTGCTTGAAATGTGCTTTACGTGCGGTTTGAAAAAAAAATAACTATTCCCCCCTAGTTGTGATGTGCTATGTGGTGTTGTGTAGGGGACACGTAACAACAGGGTTAAAGGTTACGTCGGATGTAATGATTCCAGTCTACAGTGGATTAGGTCATAGAGCCGACTACACGAATGTCAGGCAACTATGGTAGTGGGTATTGTCATACGGCCCCACTTTAGACACCATAGGTGTGTAAACACCACTGTAACACCACTGGTGACACCTCCGATTCAACAATAGCTTAAACTTAAACCCTCAATTTATAAGGACATGTGATCCCACTGATTGAAAAAAAAAATCACATGTAATCGAAAAAAAAACAACACATGTAAGCCCACTGATAAAAAAATCCCAACTGTAATCATACTGATTAAAAAACCACCTGTGATACCATTAATTGAACAAACACCTGTTTTCCCACCCCCTGAAACACTACATGTAATCCCAAAATCCACATCGATATCCAAAACACCACGTATAACTTCACCATCCAAAACACCACGTATAACAACACCATCTAAAACACCACATATAACTTCACCATCCAAAACACCACATATAACTTCACCATCCAAAACACCACATATAACTTCACCATCCAAAACACCACATATAACTTCACCGTCCAAAACACCACATATAACTTCACCATCCAAAACACCACGTATAACAACACCATCCAAAACACCACATATAACTTCACCATCCAAAACACCACGTATAACAACACCATCCAAAACACCACGTATAACAACACCATCCAAAACACCACATATAACTTCACCATCCAAAACACCACGTATAACAACACCATCCAAAACACCACGTATAACTTCACCGTCCAAAACACCACATATAACTTCACCATCCAAAACACCACATATAACTTCACCATCCAAAACACCACATATAACTCCACCATCCAAAACACCACCATTCCGTTCACACCGCCACACCGCTATTCGCCGGCTCTTGTGTGTGCAACCAACCATGACTATGACCTCCCAAAGATCCCGTCTAACAAGATCCCCTCCCTCTGCCCCTCCCTACCTGCTGGTAATATTTGGTAAAACTTACAAAACAGACAAAAGCAGACGGACGGGTTATGCTCCGCCGGCTTGACGTAAATCCACCCCCCCCTCCTTATCGGACGGCTTTCCTTTTTTGGTGTGTTCATTCAAGCGAGGAAGATACACTCATGGCCCGGATTGGTTGACGTACGTGTGACGTGTCAGGGCAGGAGACCGTCCCGTCCGCAAACACCAAAGTCAACAAATATACTTGCTTACCCAGCATACACCTGGCACGCCTTGCCCACACTTACATATACAGCATACATTTTATACATATGCCCTCATGGCCTACTTTATATCCTAACATGGCATACACCATAAGCTCATATACACATATTTACATACACATTATATATATATATATATATATATATATATATATATATATATATATATATATATATATATATATATATATATATATATATATACCAAGTATAGGCATCCTGAATTAACATGCACGTATACCTCCTTACCTACCATCTTATCTTAACCCTCCCACCCACACTGTCCCCCCCCCCCCCCCCCCCATCCCCAGCCTATTCAACATCTGATGACCATCATTGCATTATCCAGAGATACACAGACAGAAAAAACTCCCTGACCTCTCAACTGTGACCCTTATCGATTAACCTTCAGTCTTTAACCTTCATATAAGGGTCAGCACCTTGAACCATTGATTTCGGCTTATCGAATGTAACATCCAATTAGAATCGATCGCATTACAGCATTGCTAGGCTCTAGGTGCGACACATTGCTATGAATTTCCACTTGCAGGGGAAATGTTCTGGATTAAACTTATGAATAACAACCTAACATGTCAGATATCAATAACTCTCCTTTGGCAAGTCCGACATCTTGGTGTTTTCGTGGGATTTTTATCTGACAAGCTCGATCAACAGATCTATTTATAGTACATTGAAATCCCTTGCATTCATTACTGTTCTTTAGTCCGCTTGCTTGTGTTCGATTCATTCAATGATTTCCCCCCGTCATTTCAATCATTGATAAAAGCCAACCAGGCAAGTCGGGTTATTCACACTTGGCCGACTAAGCGAGTTGTGCCTGGTCATGCCGGCTGAAAGCACTTTATGGTGCCGGTAAATTCTGCTGCTCCAGCAGCCTACAGCAGAAGGCACAAGGCTGAGAAAGGTCGCAGAAATATGGCGACCATAAAATATAGTCCAACTGAATTACAATTTAAATCAACCCAAATTATAAACTATAACGACCCTAAGTTATACAATTTTATAAATTATAGCGACCCCTTAATATAACTTTAAAGACATTATAGCGACACCCAAAGACAATTTTCTTCAATACAAAATGTGTCTGATTAGTCATTTATTTACAAATGACCAGAATAAATGCAAGTCTTTACATGTTAAGTTTGAACCATTTCAACAAACCCTTTAGTAACACACCTCAGTCCCTGGAGCTACAACCAGTACCTTATAAGGGAAACTTGCTGAAGATTTTTTTTACTGTAAAACCCTAATAGACCATTTATTAATGCTAGTGAGCAAAATAGTCAACATTTAAGTCCAGGTTATCACTTTATCCGACTTAGTTATCACAATCTCTTTACACATGTTCTGTTTGTGTTTTCCATCAAACCTTAGTCTCGCTACTGTGCTAAGCACACGTAGACTCTCGCTACTGTGCTAAGCACACGTAGACTCTCGCTACTGTGCTAAGCACACGTAGACTATCAAATGTTGAGAGAAAAGAACACACCAATACTGAAAGAAAATTTCCCCATACATTGCCTGCAACAGATGTGGCGTCTAGAGAGTTAATTAAATATTTTATTAGATTTACAATCGGAGAACTACAAAGAATAAATCAAGATTGGTGTGGTTTAATATTGATTTTATCGCTAAGAGTGCTTGGAATAGTGGAGCACAGTGATAATTCAACTTATAGTTGAAGATGTTCCAAAATGAGAACAATATACTGTAAGGGGGTTAACATAAATAGGGTGCCATTACGTCTAAGGGAGTTTGGATCCTGTTGTGCTATGCTATGTTTATAATAACCATATCATATCTTAACATGTGCTGTCTACACTAATTAATTTCTTCGTTAAACAATCTTGTCTTTACAATATAATATGGTTTATTTTCTAAGCTGCATTATGCTATCTATATGATAACTATTTCCTGTGTTTAACTGCTCTCATAAGTATTTTCTATGTTATTGTTAAAGTGTTCCATCTATACAATAAATATTTTATGCAACTATTTTTGTGTGGATTTGTGTCGTTCTTGTTGAAATAAAACCACATACTTATAAGGTATTAAAGTGAACAATGAAAACACCTAAAGTGTGAAATGCTAGCCCGGATGTAAGGAAACAACCTGCTGTCGTAGGGGGTTAGTTCACACCCCCAGCAGCCGACAAACCGGTTTAATGTTTCACCTCAGCAGACGGCTAAATGGGAAGATGACCCGTAGGTCACATTTGTGTCTGCTGAGGAATTTGTCATGGCGAGAAATGATAGAGATTTTATAACATGCTGAAGACACGGTGGACTTGTTATGCTTAGTTGGTTGTAATAGGGAATCTTGTATACAGAAATATTAAAAGGTGGGGGGGGGGGCAGTTTCAGTGGATCTCTTGAAGGTTATAAGGGTAAAGTGTTTTCTTTGATCAATGTACATGTAAAACTAGTAATGTATGGTAACAGATAGGCTGTACTATTGTTGAATTGTTTTGTAATGGTAAGATCTATCTTTGTTGTGTTTTGTGCTGTCGGGGGGGGGGAGGGTTGTATCTTTGTTGTGTATTTTGTTGTGAGGGGGAGGTTGGACCTTTGTTGTGTATGGTGATGTCAGGGGGGTGGGTGTGCATCTATCTGAATTGTTTTGGGATGGAAAGAGCTATCTTTGTTGTGCATGGTGTTGTGAGGGGAGGGATGTAGATGTTATATCTTTGTTGTGTATTGTATTGTTATGGGAAGGATGTAGAGGTTGTATCTTTGTTATGTATTGTGTTGTGAGAGGAAGGAAGAGGGAGGAGTTGGATCTTTGCTAAACTGGGAGCTAAAGAGCTAGACTGGGAGCCAAAGAGCTAGACTGGACACGCCCATTCTGTGTTTAACAGGAAATTATGTCCATAACACGAACAGCAAACATCGACATAACTTTGTGGGCGCCAGTTTACCTTTGTGGGGGAGGCAATTTATTTTTAAACACATGTAAGTTTATAGTTTGCTGCACTGTGGTAAATAAAATCTGCTTCTACCGTTTGTTATGAGGTGTATATATATATTATAAAGTATGCTTCTACCGTTTGTTATGAGGTGTATATATATATTATAAAGTATACTTCTACTGATGGAAATTTAGGGGCTGATTTTTATTTTGGGAGCTATGGAACTGGAATAAGACTAGCTTTACAAGGGTAGATAATTTGATAAATCTACAATAGGGGAGACAAATCAGCTAATGTAAAACATTGATGTATTAACGTAAGAAGTAGTGAGCATAATTGAGCACGGGGGGGGGGGGGGGGGTACAAGAATATTTTACTTCCATTGCATTGCCAGACGGTGAGAGAGTGAGTGAATGTAACTTACATTTCGCGCTGGGAGGCGATCTCATCCTGAAGGCCAGCGACCTTGGCCTCGCTGTGTCCCTTGGAGACGCCTAGCTCGTCGATGACTTTACGTGCCTGTCGGAGCTCGTTCTCATAGGCGGCCCTAATGGGCTCGAAATCTTCGGTTTTCCTGTTGCGCAGAGCCTCGTTCTCAGCCTCCAACTTCTTGACCAGGGCGTCCAGGAAGTGAACCTTTTCGATGTAGCTGGCCAGACGCTCGTTCAGGTTCTGCATCTCGCGTTTTTCCTTCTCGCGGTTTCCCTTGAAGTCGGTGATCCCAGAGCTTGACAGCTGCTGGTAGACCCCGGGGGAGATGGAGTTGCGGACATTGACGCTGCTGGACCTGGAGGAGTAAATTCCGGAGCCACGGGTCGCCCGGGGGTCGGAACGGGTGATGATGATGTTCCTGGACTGAATATGGCTCTGGCGGCCTCCTTGTTCTTCTTCTTTCTTCTGCATCTTGAGAATTCTGGTTTTAACGAAGCGGGTTCAGAGAAATATAAAACTCGTAAGTTCCAATAAAGCAAAGCTTTAACGGTCCTTGAATGTTTTAACTTTCCTGGAAAACGAAGACAAAAAATATATTTTAATTATACACAATAAATAATTACAAAACCTACACAAGAAATAATTTAAATCACAATCAAATACACGAAAAAAAATTGTGAAATAAAGTGGATATATACTTTAGCTGTGGTTCGCTAACTAGCCGGCCGGCGAGATAGCAAAGAGAGAGAAACGTGCGTGCTTGCGAGGAGAGTAGCAAGGGACGAATGCGACGACTGGGGACGCGAGGCTAGGTTTTTACTTGTCGCACCCTCGCTTTCCTGCCGGGCCACGACGGGATCCGAAACCTGTTGGACTAGTTCTCCACGGCTATTTTCATAGCGTCATTTTAATGACAATGGCCTAGTCTGGCTGCATAGCTAAACGGCTCGGGGGTAGAGCCGAGTGTGGAGGAATGAGGTGGCTCTAATGGAACTGCTGGTCTGTCAGTTTTTCCTCTCTGTGATAGATTAAATTAGATTTACGCATGTCACAAAAGGTCACAGAAACATTGGATCACTGAGTAATATTGTCACCACCGTACCTGTATGTTGATATATTTTTGTTTGGATATTTTCCGCCTTGATGGCTGTTAATTTTCTGTCCATTCACTCAATTTTTTTCGTTTAATTCATTCAAGAATCCAACCCTAAACACAGGTTTATATAGGCACCTTTATCATTCTTTCCTCTGTGCTGTAAAAATGTTATGGGCTAAGTTAGATTGTTGAACTTTTAACACATTTTTTTTACCATTAAGCCTAGTTTAATAATCCTACATAAACGATGCTCACGGTATTTTTACGGTCCGTGGATCTAAAACAAGACTGTAGCAGAAATTCATATATATATATATATATATATATATATATATATATATATATATATATATATATATATATATATATATATATATATATATATACATATATAGTAAGCAGTATTTCTTCTTGGATTTAAGGCTTTATGTGAAATCTTGTCTAAAGGTGCTGGGAATGAATCTCTGGAACAAACAGACAATGCATCACTTTTTTTTATGGCGGTCTTTGGGCATTTCGTTGCTGGGTCAAGCTGAAGTGACCAACTAAGGCCTGAGTATGGTTGTGTACAATGTGTACTAGATTCTCTACGAAAATTTTGAGACCAACAGCTCGAGAAAAGTATCGATGAAAATACAAAAATGTAGCAAAACAAAAGGATGTGATTTGATTGGACAAGGTATGCGTCGTATCCATGGTAACCAGTAAGGCGAAGAGATTACAAGTACAAACCTCTCAAAGATACAGATAAATTAGACTTGAGAGTTAAAACAGTGTTTGTTTACATGAGGTAAGACCAACAACAAATAGCTTCACTGCACTGAGACTATTTGACATAATTCACGGCTAATATTTGTACAATAGGCTTGAAAAGTCTATGTAATCATACTAAATATTAAAAAAAAACGTTAAAAAATATGGCGAGCGATCACATCATAGCTACATTTTTAAAAAGTTGTTTGGGAACCATCAACTATACTTATTTTCATATTTTTGTATTGAATATAGGTCGACGAAAAGTCGTTTAGAATTATTTTATACGAGCCGACCCGCAGCGTATCATACGCCGCTATTTAGTTGTTTTATTTTCTACTTTTCAGTAATTCATAATTTGTGAATTCGACAGTACCAATGCTGCCACTGAAAATATTTGCTTTAAAACACTAATCCCCCTTTCCCCTAGCCCCGACCCTACACCCCCCCCCCCCCGTGAAAGCAGCCTCCTCTTAGTTATTTCTTAGTTACCTCCTGTAAGTTTAAAATCGAACTAAATTATCTGCCCCTAATAGAAACCTGGCTCTACGGCTCTACGATTTGTAAACATTTAGCTTTGTAAACATTTAGCGTGACCACAGCTCACCAGACAATGTGGGGGTGGTAGTGATAGTGATAGAGAGAAAGAGAGGTGAATGCAAGGAGGCGCTTGCAGCTTGTTTTCTAACGGCACCCAGAAGAGAATTATATATATAGATATTCAAATATTAAAAAAAAAACAACAACTGCCCTCAACCCCTCCTTGAAGTCAACCGGAGTGGCCAATGGAAAGTAAAACAAGGAAAGTCACAACAATTGTTTTCCATAATAAAATACATAATATCGGTCGATGGGGTTTAGCTGGTAGTTTATTTATTATAAAAAAATATAACATCCACTATCACCACAACACACAGAGTTTACTAACCCAAATTTATTAAAATAAAAGTGTAAGCTAAATTACTATCACATTACTCGCAGGCCTAATGGGTTGAATATTTCTAGCGTTAGTCATTTTGTACTACTTTTACAAATGTATAAAATATTTTTGGCTGAAAATATGCTCTCTGGCAACAAACATTTGTAACCATTTTGAACCACTTGAAACCATTTGGAAACATTTGTAACCATTTGAAATCATTTGTAACCATTTGAAATCATTTGTAACCATTAGGAACCATATGGAACCATTTGGAACCATCTGTAACCATTTGGAACCATTTGGAACCATCTGTAACCATTTGGAACCATTTGGAACCATCTGGAACCATTTGGAACCATCTGGGACCTTTGAAACCAGTTTTTCAAGCCTATTCTAATGGATTTATTGCCACACCTGGATAAGAACGAGCTAATTTTTGTTTTATTATAGGTAAAAAACACAAGCCCAGGTCAGGCCTAATGTTTGTTTAAAATTACCACTGATAGTCTTGAGGTGTCGGTGCGGAATGAATTATTACCACGACAGTTAAACTCTTGTTTAACACGTGGAGGTATACCCTCTGTTAGTGGCGTTATGAGGCCATTACAATATTAAATTACTCCGCTCTGGAGATGTTAGGCTGGTGTAAGGCAGATGACACTGGCATGTCAGCATGACATGTCTAAATCTTAACACAGTGTGTGTCAGTGGCGTAGGCAGGGGGGGTTAGGGGGGGGGTTATGACCCCCCCCCCCATAGACCCCTCGGTATATATAAAAAGTATGAGGGGGGGGGGTGCAAATCGAAAGTTTGAGGGGGGGGGGGGTGCAAATCGAAAGTTTGTCCCCGGGTAAAAATTGGACCCCCCCCCCTTGAGACGATCCTGTCTACGCTACTGGTGTGTGTGTGTGTGTGTGTATGGTGGGGGTGTGTGCGTGGGGGTGGGAGGTGGGGGTAGATTCACTTGACCAGAGAACAATAATGACCATGTTTTTTTGTTTTGTTTTGTCTTGTAGGTGGGTACTGGATGATGAACTCTACTTCTTCTGCTGCAAGGAACACCCACATACAAATGGTACAATTCACGAAAACATGACAAATCTGCTGAAAAACTCACTAGGATTTAGGACTTTGAGAGAAAAACTAAACTTATCAACACATCAATATAAAAAAAATGGTCACAAAAACTGTCATACTTTCATTTAATTATTGTGCACGATTACAATACTTCCTCTACACTTACAATACTTTCTCTATACTCTGTATACGAGTAAGTAAAAAAGTAAATTAAAAAAAAAGATTTGGTAATTCCCCCCTCCCCCCATGTGTTTGTGTTAAAATAGGTTTCTGTTAAACCCGTTGAATGTAATCAGGAAATACTCAACAGCTCCCCCATACAGTATCCTTTTATGTTTGTTATTGTTTGGGTACATACAAACCCAGCGTCCTCAACTACGGTTACGTCACCGATTCAAACTATTCTTAAAATAGATTACACACGTTTCTGTTTCGCTTTCGTTTGAGTGCGTTTGTATGTAATTTATTAACATCAATATTCTGCATTATAAGGGAAAAAACACATTAAGCTTCAAACAGTTTCTAGGCTTTTCTAAAACGTACTCCTAAACTGGTGACGTCATCGCGCCAGTTCACAAGCCTAGCAGGACGTAATAAACGATAACAGACCGTGTCTCGCCACGTACTGCACCGGTAGCCTAAGAAATTTACTTTTTGATAAGAAATGTATTCGTTTTTTTTTTGCTAACTTTTGTTCTTAAGCAAACAAAAAAACCCGGTTTAAATCAAACAAAAACGTCAGGAAAAGATATGGGTTACCAGCTTGTTCGTATTTCTTGGTTACAATTTGCAGCGGGGAAGGATTGAAATTTACCTGGAAATCGTGAAGATTGTGGTACATACAGAGGTGCCGAGAACATTAGAGGGACTCTGCACATGTTCTTTGATCTACCTACATATCCAACACACCCTACCCACATATATACCCTACACACATACATACCCTACACACATACACACCGTACATACCATACACACCTAAAGTCATACACACTTACAAACCTACACACCTGCACACCCTACACACCTTACACAAGTACGTACCCTACACACATACATACCCTACACACATACACACCGTGCATACCATACACACCTAAAGTCATACACACAAACCTACACACCTTACACACCATAACACCATACACAAGTACATACCCTATACACATACACACCTTACATACCTACACACTATAAACCAGACACACCTACAAACCCCTCACACCCTACACTCCCTATAATGATTTACTACATCTTCATCTAACCACCAAAAATACCACCTCACAATCCTAGCAAGATTAAAAATATGTTATACACTGATAACCGAATTGAGCCAAATATTCATTAAACACACAATAACGAGTTTTGTAGATCTGTATTCAGACTTTCAAACATACTCTACCATATAAAACGTAGCTTTTTAAAGCATTTCTATTACGGTTTATATACAAGTATGTTAATCCCATAATACACATACAACATGAGCGATAAAAAGCTTGATATTATGTTTAAAAAACGATCATTACATTTTTTGCACAACCAACATAAATGACATATACCTTGAAGTATAAGCATTAACTACATAAAAAAACACAATATAACACACTAAAAAAAACATTCGTTTTATTTGCCCAATCCCCTTCACAGACCTACATAACTGGTTGTTGTAATTTATTTAAACACCCACCTCCTGTCACATATAGACTTATATGTACACACGTGTACACGACTATTATTGTACACTTCAGATAAGCCCCCACATCAGCAGAACCCCTGGTCCATGCTCGAACTTTCCAGCCCCTATACAAAACATTATTTGCTAACAAACGAACGACTTGCAAGCCGCATACATGCACACCCCCGTGAAAAATGGACCCTCCCAAACCGGTGAAGGTAACCTTGCCACCCCCACACGAATAGAGACACTCCTTGTTACGATAATGATACAGATTTCGGCCTACAAGCAGTGGTTGACAGAAATTACGCGACGAAATAATGCCACCCCA